GGGGGGGGGGGGGGGGGGGGGGGGGGATCCAGCGTGGAGGAGAGAGAAAGAAGAGTTAAAGGTGAATTATGAAGACATCACAAAACAACGCAAACAACACAACAGAAGAGAGGGAAGGAAGGAAAGGAAGGGGAGGGAGTTGGTTTTTACTGCGACCGCACAAAAGAAATGGAGAGGAGAGGGGAATTGACGGCGTTAACAAACGGCAACTCCTAACCACTTTCTCACTCTCTCTCCTCCCCCCGATCTATCTCGCTCGTGTTTGTAGGCAGAAACTTCTTCTTCTTCTCCTCCTCCTCCTCCTCCTCCTCCTTCCTTCCTTCCTTCTCACACCTAAATTTCATTTTTCTTTCTCTCTCTCCCTTCTCCTTGTTTCCTCCTCCATCTCCCCCCTTCTCTCAGGCGAGGGCTCCGAATCTCGCCGGAGAATTTCTTCCCTATTCTTCCATTTACCCCTAAGGCTCTCCTCCTGCGCTTCACCCCGAGCTCTGGAGGAACATACAGATTTCCGCCATACGCCAACAATTGCAGCAACCAGACCTTCAACAATGCCCGCTTAGTATATTTATTTATACATATATTTATCGAACATGAAGGGGCTGGAGGTGCTGGACCTAACGTGCAATGCAGGAAATTTAAGCATCAAACCCTTTGGAGGATCTTGCACGCCACAGATGCTTACATGATTCCTTCTTCAACCTCCCATGCCTTATGCCGTAATCTATTCTTTTCCCTCTCCCTCTCCCTCTCCCTCTTTCTTGTTTAAATTCTTCTTCTTCTTCCCGGTTTCTCATCTCTCTCTTTTCTCTTAATTGCCGCTCCCTCCCATCTTTCTCCTGCTCTCTTCTCTTCCTCCTCTTTTTCCCTCTCTGTTTGCTCTTTCTACTCGGATCTTTTCAATTTTTTTTATTTCTTTTTTAATCTTTTCGGCCTTTCAAGGTAAACTGTGCTGTTTCTAGCTCAATTCGGGGTTTTGATTCTCTCTAATTTACTTCCTGTGCCTTGATTTTCTTTCTGTATCTTGCGATCTACCTGTTTCTTGTTTGAATTTTACCGCTGGATGGGCCTTTTGCTTCCCCTCGATTTCAGCCATGGTTTTGTATTTATGAAACTTAATTTTTATCAGGCGATCTTTAACTTAATGCTTATGATTCGTTTTGTGTAATTTGTTGCATTACTGTCGAGATCTCAAACGAACAACCGTTTTCTTTCCTTCCTTTCTTGTTTGACTGTGCGGTACTTGTGAATTAATATGTCCAACCCAGTTTAATCAACGGTTCTTCGGCTTCTATTTTTCCCAACTAAAAATTATTGATCTACCTGCAGATTTTTGTAGGCTCGAGGGAAGCTTTTGAATTGCCTTCTGGAGGAGTGGGCTTGCAGTTTTTGGCGTCCTTTTTTATGGAGCTTCTTTGAGTTGGTTTATTTTTTTTAATCTTTTGGGATTTGTTCTTTTTCGGTTCCATCATGCCGTCTGAAGTATTGGACCTTAAGGGTTTGTCTTCATCTTCCTTCTTCTCCGACGATTTACATCATTCAGATGAGGTATGGTCAGACCCTTGGCTTTCATGAGCCCTTTTTTTTTTTTTTTTTTTTTTTTTTTTTTTTTTTTTTT